TCTTTACTGTAGATCATTGAACAACATATTTTGATTTTTTTTTGCGTAGGCACAATGTGTCTTCTGGTTAAGGATCCCCATAATGTTTATGTGTTTTTCTTGTTTTTTTCCAGATGCACAATGGTTATGTGTTCAAGTACTGGTTTTGCGAGTTGTTATGTTTTGTCAACATTGTCGGGCAGCTCTTCCTGATTGACAGGTTCCTTGGTGGAGAATTCTTGACCTATGGACCAAGAGTAAGTATTGGTTTTGATCTCTTACAAGGAAAAGAAAATATTTGCTCTCGAATACCTCATATTGGGAAAATTACCAACAGGTTTCTTGATTAACTTATAATTTAATTTTATGACTTCCTTACAGGTCGTAGAGTACAGTGAAATGGACCAGGAGGAGCGTGTGGACCCCATGATCTATGTCTTCCCACGAATGACCAAGTGTCACTTCCACAAATTTGGTCCCTCAGGAACTCTTGAGCGTCATGATGCGTTCTGCCTTTTGCCGCTCAATATTCTGAATGAGAAGGTATGTCGAACAATTTTACTTTTAATTAAATTGAGCTTTTATGTGAAATTTATGGTGAAATGAATATAGGTGGATGGGGAATTGAGATCCATGAGTGGAGACTGTGGATAGTAGTAATCTCTTTTGTTTTGTGATCTAAAAAAGATGATTAACCTGTTGGATCCAGGGGCATTGCTGTCCACACAAAGCCCCAAATCCAGGCATTCCTCTAGGCTCAGCCAATTAAAATACTTTTGTTCACTGTCAAGACTCCTTTTCTCCCCTTATTCTGCTTATTTGCGGGGGGAGGGGAGGAGTAATTTTCCTAAGGCTGTTTATTAATTGATATGCTGTATCTGATGCTCGTATCTATAGGTTATATAAATAACTGCAACAACAATAAGCATTTTTGTTGTTTGCAAAACTGGTAGGCAGGAATAAGATCCTGACCATGGAAATAGTGTTCTCCCTAAAGGTGGCATCTTCCATTCATAGCTCATGGGGATGGCACTTCCCTCACTCATTTACCAGTAGAAATAGTCCTAGTGTCTAATCACCCTCCAAGAGCTTTATCCACTCATGGTGAGGCATTCTTGTTGGCCAGACAAGCAGCCAAATTTTTTATGATGGTATATTCACCCAGTCCTCAGCTAAATTTATGTATGTTGTGATGGTCATGTCCCCTTGATCCAAAGAGTTCAATTAAATGTATTCTATTGTTAACCATACTAACAAAGTTCAAATTATATCATTGTCATTAGACATTTCTATACTTTTTGTCAACCCTTTGGCCTGAAAACATGCAATTGCTATGGTGGACTGAAATGGATGGCATTGTGTACCGACAGACCCCATGCCATTGATTCATCAGAGGGAGCTTTACTGGCCATTAAGCCAATCTGTAATGCTGCAGTCAATGGGTTAATATATAATACTGTTTTGTAGAATTTTATTACATGTCATTTTTTGAGTTTTTCAATGTACCTTTCTTCACATAGGTGTTCATCATGATCTGGTTCTGGTTTGTCATCCTGGCTTGCCTTCTTGGAGCCCTCATCCTGTACCGAGTTGCCCTCTTCACACTCCCTGGCCTTCGCCCAAGGGCCATGCACAAGCATAACAAGTCTATTTCTCTGGAGACCGTACAAGCCATCACCAACAAGACTTCCATTGGAGACTGGTAAGTTTTATTTTTTTTTACTTTTAAAGATGTAAAGTACTGTTTAGTTACTTGATATTATAATGACTTAATGAGCACTGTTATTTTGTTACCTTTATTTAAACTAATTGGTTTATTTTCCTTTCTTCACAGGTGGATTCTTTATGTACTATCAACCAATATTGACCCTCTTATCTACCGTGACATCATGACGACCCTGGCCAAAGAAATCGAGACGGCGAATAGCAACAATCCTTACAACAGCGCAGGGTTATACTCATCATCATCCGTATGAATGTTAGAGGACATGGATTGAGGGCTGTCACTCAGCTGAAGGTGTAATAAAGACTTTTAACGAAGTAAAGGACAAAAACAACTGGGACCTTTTTGTACTGTGTTTTCTGCCCACACTTGTTTCTTCGATTGGGCGAGTGATGGCTAAATTATTTTGAGTACTTTTGTTTTGGTGCTATGTATGGTGTGCTTGGGAACAGCTACTGGTATGTCATTTAATTTACTGACCCTTGCTTTTGATGAACTTATCAGTTTATAGCACTTGCACAGATTGGAAAAGAAATTATTATTATTTTTGTTTAAATCTATTCAATGCACCAATCCTTCAGCTGATCCATGATGTGACATTAATGTTCTCATGTTTCAGTTTTTTTTCTAAGATTTAGTTCTCCTTACAATAGAGGTGGACTAGCCATGTTGCATGAGGGTGACAGCCACCAGTTCCTGTCTTGAATAGAATATATCTAGATTGTTTTTCCTCTTTCACTGGACTAGAATCTTTCTGTACTTCTTTGTTGTTGAAATGTGAAGTAAGCCTTGATCTTA